CCCGCCTCCCCCCCCCCCCCCCGCCTTGCGAGAGCCCCGCCGCGCCGCGCGGACTGAGGATGGCGACCGGGTCGGCCACCCGTAGCCCCGCGGGACCCTTCCGGAGCCACCTGCTGCTTTGCTGCATCCTGGCCCTCCTGTTGCACGAACTTCCCTGGGCGAGGGCAGGTAAAGCGGGTGTGTGTGTGTGTGTGTGCACGCGTGTGTGGGCTGGGCTTGGGTGATGCCAGGCAGGGCTTCTGGGTAGCTCCTCGTTTGTACAGCGCGGGGCACATGCACCCCCGGCCTCGAAGCTCTCCGCAGGTTTGAGAAAGGCTCCCCTTTACTTTATGCCCTTTTTTGGCTCATCGGCGGCTCCAGTGACGGGCTTGCACGTGAGGAGGTGCGGATTGGGGCCCCGGCATTCCCAGAGGAAAAGGAGAGGCCGCTGCCCGCTCTAAAACCGCGCATCGCAAAGGTTGTCCCACGACACCAGAAACGACGAGGAGTACAGTGGCACCTTAAAGGCGACCAAATTATGTTTGGCCTCAGCTTTAGCAGCCCTTAGCTCGCCTCATGCCTCTTGCATAATGCAAGAAGTGGGCTGCCACCCCAGTTGATGCCAAATAAAACTCGCTGGTTTTTAAGATGCTACTAAACGCTTGGTTGGTTTTTATTGATGCAGACTGCCAGCTATCACTGGAGTCCCTGGAAACGTCTGCCAAAAAAGGGGGGGAATTTACCCAGCAAGGGAGGCTGTGGGGTGGGTGGATCATTAATCCCGTAAAATCTAAAGTGAATTAGGGGAAGGAGGGTCATCTTTCAAGGGTGCTGTTTGGAGAAAGCTTCTTTTCGGGGTGTAGAAACCAGAATCCTGCCCCTAGCAAGGCCAGCGCCTCTGTTGAATGAGGATTTAGGAAGTTTTCATCCCCAAAAGTAACTTTTCTGACCTCTGCACTTCTGCATTGGCTGGCACAGGGAGGGAGATTCCATCAGATTCTAATTTTCTCCCACTTGTTGTGCTCTTTAAAGCCTCCAAAACTTTCATGTCTCAAAGGATGCTGCTGGTGGTGGTGATGCAGTTTTAGCCAATTAAATAATTACTTTCCTTGTTTGAAAGCCACTTTTCATTGGCTTGAAACATTGCTGCTTTTAACCTGCAGCTTTTTAAAATATGGAAAACTAACTACTTTTTTAGTATAGGTGTTGCTCAAACCTCTGGAATCCTTTCCGAGGGTAGTATTAAGAGTGGTTGTCCTCTGGATCCTTTCCCTTTCTCTCCACAGGATCTAATGCTTCTCACATGGAACTGAGAACAATTTCTTTAGAAGGACTGTTTTACCCCTTTGCAAACAGATGCAGTTATAAAAGAGCAATGAATTGACGATGGCGTCTAAAATCTCTCTGCTTGATTCACAGCCCTAACATGGCTTCATCGTTGCAGAGCCCATATCTCCTCAGTAGGAGCCCTCATTTAGACACGCTTGTTGTACATCGAATAACTTTCGGTGCAGTTTAATTAAGGTTACCTTTTTGTAGGAGAAATAATTTGTTGTAGAGGGTAGGGAAATGATGGGGAGTGGGATGCATGCAATTATAATTGCCTATAGAAGGCTACAAGCGAGACCTCCTCCATCATGTCTCATTGTGATACTATCAGGTAGAAGGTCCATGTTGAGGTTTTCAGCCAGTGATGCCCTCTTCCAGGACATGACATTAGCCCCCCTTTCCATTCTGTTTCACCCCCCCCCATCCTTCTCTCCCATATACGTTTTCTGTGGCCATTGAGTTTGCTGCCCTTTTGGCTCTAGAGCAAACCTCAGCTGGAGAAGGAGCTTGCTTTTCATCTGTGATGATCCTGTTAATTTTAAAAAGCAGCCTCAGATCAAAGCCTTAATAAAATCATTTATTTTAGTTTGATGACCTGCTGTGGTTTGTTTTAACTCTCTGGAAGGTGTAGGAATAAACAAGGACATATTGATTTTCCTAGAAACTGTTCAAGCAAAGCATTAGGAAACTCTGGGGTGTCTCTTTGGATGCCGGAGAGGTTTGGGCACAGAATGGGATTGATTTCTGAAACTTGTATTTATTTATTTATTTATTTA